TTGGTAACTTTTCCCCATTTCTGGTGGGTTTTGGGGGGTTTGTTTTTTGGGATTATTCTCACACATTTCCGATGGGTCTTGGGGGGTTTTCTTGCTTTCTGCTTTGCTTTTTCCCATTTCTGATGTGTCTTGAATGCTTGGCTTGCTTTCTGCTTTGCTTTTTCCCCATTGCCGATGTATCTTGCATGCTTGGCTTGCTTTTCTTCCCCCCCCCCTCGGCTGGAACGGATTAATAGCGTTTCCGATCAGTCTTGCAGTGGGGGGTGTTTTTTGGGTGATTTTTTCTTCAGTTGGAACTGATTACAGTGGTGCCTCGCGTAATGAGCGCTTTGTTTAATGATGAATTTGCTTAGCGATGACTTTTTCGGAGCGTTTTTGCACTCTGTTTAACGATGGTCCCTATGGGCGATTTTCGCTTAGCGATGTTGGGACCATGCTTCGCAAAACAATTACATTTTTGGGTCCCCTGTTTCACTTAACAATGGTTTAAACAGCCTCATGTTTGCTGTTTTTAAATGTTATAAAGTTAAAGTTTACTGTTTAAAATATTTGAAATCATAAAGTGCACTTAATAAACCCTTTGTTAACCAAATCTGACTTTGTTCTAACTCTTTTTAAATATGTTGTTGAATTTTTTCCCCCATTGAGATGCATTGAATAGGTTTCAATGCATTCCAGTAGGGGAACTGCGTTTCGCTTAGCGATGTTTCCTATGGCGATTTTCACTTAAGAACGGCAGTTTGTCCCTATTGGAACAGATTATCCCGTTCTAAATGCATTTCAATGGGAAACCACGTTTCGCTTAGTGATGTTTTCACTTAGCGACAAATTTTTTGGAACCAATTAAAATCGTTAAGCGAGGCACCACTGTAATTTCATTTCAATGGGAAATGGTGCTTTGACTTACAACCATTTTGAGTTATGGCCATCTTCCAGAACGGATTAAATTCGTAAGTTTATGCACCACTGTATTAAAGCTAAGATCAATAAGTATAAAATATTTACAAGGGGAAAAAATGTCACTCTGATAAATGGAAAACTGAAAAATGGAAACCATGTGTAGGTACTAAAAATCCAGTCAAAGCAGTAATGCATAACAATCCATCTAAAAATGATGAGGACGATGAGAGTTGTTAACAGGTTAACTATGGTTATACATACCTTTTCCTTAACAAAAAGCTGTGCAGCCAGTTGTTTAACTTCCATCACCAACAGGGAAAGAAAAAGTAAAGGAAAGGGAAAAGAATGATCAAGATTGTTGTTGAGTTTTTCAGGCTGTTCGAAAAACCCACAACAACCATCGGATCCCAGCATGAAAGCCTTTGAGAACACAATGATCAAAATTATTGCTTACCAGTAATGGTGCCGGCATCTCTGTACTCCCTGTAGTCTGACACTTCATTGTCCACAGCTTCACTTACATAGTGCTCTTCATGAAAGCCTGCATTACAGGCTAGGACTGCATGGTTGGTTGTCACAGGAGAGGACACAGTGGCAGCTGAAGTGGAGTCGTTTAAAGCTGTGGAGTCCAGCTTGGCAGGTTTCACAGGGAGGTGCCAACTGCCATCGGGGGAGCCAGTGCTAGAGACTGGGGTCTGGCAGAGTAGACAATTCAGCCCTCACGCTTTGCTGTTGCTGGTCTATTTGAGAGATCTGCAAAACACACACACACACATACAGAAAACAGCATGGTTTAATTCAAGAAATCACATCAGAATGAATAAAAACAGATATCATAAGTAGTCTTTTCCAGCATTCCCAAAATACATTTTGCAAATGATCCAGGCAGCTGTAAGACCCAACATATAATTATCATTATTTTATTCTTAGATATGTATACACATCTGCATTTGTACAGAGTTAGAAAAGGAAAGGCTGGGGAAAACATCAAAAGTTATGAAAGTTTCTCGTTTCCAGTTTAAAATATAAACAAGCAAACCCAGAAAGAAGCTTAAGAACTATGATCATTATATAGCAGAAGCGTGTACTTTACTAGAGCAGTGGTAATTTCTGCTATTGTGCTTGCCATAAACAGTGTCACCCAAGATTCATTTCAGGAATGATTCTATCTGTGCTTCCATATATTTCTATCTCTTATCAAACCTCCTCTGTGCAATATGATATAAATCATATTGACTGGAAAAAAGAATTGCTTCCAATCTAAATTAAGTCTGAAGTAGGGAAATAACTGGAAGGATCAAGCCAATTAATTGTGTTACAAAATACATATACCAATGTCCATACTAAAAACATATCAGTTTCCTTAGAAGTACTTTAAACCAGGGGTCGTCAACCCCCGGTCTGCAGCCCGGTGCTGGTCCGTGGGCTTGCCGGAACTGGGCCATGGATATGGATCTCTGCCCCCTGCATGTCCGCGCGGGGCATGCCGTGCCCGTGGTGGGCATGTCACGCTTGTGCGGTGGGTGTGTCATGCTTGCGCGTGGGTGTGTTGAGCTAGTGGAGGGTGTGTCATGCTCAGGCAGGGGCCGTCATGCTCGTGCACATGCATGTGATGGCCCCCACACATGGATCTCACACCCCCCCCAGCCGGTCCATGGCCCCAAAAAGATCGGGGACCGCTGCTTTAAACAACTGAGGTGGTCAGTCAAAACTCACAATAGCTTCTTTGACTGACTTTTATTGTGCATTCCTTATACAGCTGCATGGGCAGAGAATTATTTCCTGAGATGAAAATAAGCATTACATGGTAGCTCCTAAGCAAGCTGTAAATAGGGTTCTATTTGTGGCCAACATTTCACGTGTTAAAATAAATCTCTGTGTGATGACATATCCTTAAATAAACAATTCATTTCTATGACATCTCAAAATCACTCCAGTTCAAACATATCTCACCCCACAATAAATCCAGATAGTTTATACCTGAAGTGATATACTATACTGCCATACACACGCACACACACGCACACGCACACGCACACACACACACACATATCCAGGTGTTTCATCTCTTCTCCAATTATCTGCGAATGTTGAGTCTTCCATGGGCCTCTTTGTCTGACCTTCAGCTTTATCTCGAACCGGTGTTCAGAAAAACACTCTCCTAGCACTTAGAAAAACACATTCCAATGTCTCTCAAATCATCTCCACACAGAACCTGTCTGACTTCATCTTACATTTCTCTGACTACGTATCCCACACTGCTTCAACTCCACCACACTTTGTTTTTGTTTCGTGTTGCTTGTCTAATGCCAAGTAAGCTTCCCTCTTAGCTTTTCATATAAACTGGGTGGAGAAAGATTCCTCCCACAGCTCTTCAGGAATGACTGAAGCTGTACATAAGTAAAATATATATAATTAATCAAAGAGTTAGCAAGTTCAGACACTGTTTTAGAAGAGAAATAGAACTGCTGGACTAAGGAGGAAGTTCTGTCTGTTTTCAGTTATGAATAATCCTTTTAAAAAGAAATGAGTAGCAGAAGGTTAAAGGCTAATACAAAGAGAGCATGACCTATTCCTTTACTACCCCTCTTTCAGGTAGTTAGGGATGAGACAAAACTATCAGCCCAATGTCTGTCAGCATACTTCCTGATTAGTGGGGATTGGAAGCCAAGTCTCCACATTTTAAGTTTAAATTGCAGATTACCTGCATCCAAGCCCACATTTCTCAAACTCAAAGTTGATGTTATTGCCATATTATTCTCTGAAACTTGTTACAATTTGTATGTAAGCATTAATTGCAGTCAACAGTGTACCTAATGCTCAACCAAAATTAAGGTTGATGGAAACATATTTCAGTAAAGAGGAAGTGTACTAGATATTTCTGATCTCTTGACTATCGTTAAAAGATTAAAATTAATGTACAAGCAAATAAGCAGAATGTTCACATCCAACTGAAACATCAGAAGCCTAGAAGAGTTATAATTTTATCAGATCACCTCTAGAAACGAAACAAGACTCTGTGAGTTTCCTCTGCAAATAAAATAAGCATGGGGTTCCAAGTGGTGTTACCGCTGTTAATCCAGTTCATCCTAGGACACTCAAAAGGGAAACAAGCCAAAACAAGACTGGACACAGCTGTGCCACAAAGAATGAAAAGAATGTATGGCCAAGAGTCACATGTAGCTAACACAAATGTAACTCAAAAGAAATCAAGTTAGATTAATGGGGGCATGTGAACTGTAAGACTGGTATTGGGAGAAGGTGGAAGAATGTAATCACGCCATCACTACTAAAGATATCATAGGCCCTATCCGCAGTATTTATTTGTTAATAGTGCCTAATCACCAACATTTGCTCAGGCTCATAGTAGTACTACATTATGACAACTGTCAAATGAATTGTTTCCAACATACTGCTTTTTTACCCATTTGTAAAAACGGGGGGGGGGGGATTAGGAAGCTACGGCTGTCTCACAGGGAGATTACTGTACAGTAGCAGGATTTTGAATGAATCATACCACTGAGGCACTGTGTTTGTGATGCCTCACTCACTCGCCAGCCTCTTAACAGAATATATCTGGTATATTGACTTTAGAGGTAAACCAGGAATTCTTATTTTTAAAAAAGGTAATGTCGCGTAAGACTCATCAAGGTAGTTTAGCAACACCTGATACATTAGTTGCTTGGAAGCAGGACCTGGCATTTTGGTTTCTATACAAAAATGTCTTTCATGACCAGTGCAGTCCTATCAGAAGTAAGTTTTGTTATTAATACTGGAGGAACAGGACCTTCTACACTGCTCCCTGTATTGTTTGCTCTGTTATTTACTGCTTTTAAAAACAGAGTAATAAAATACAATCATAAATCTGTTGCTCTTTAGGGGCTCACAAAACAAAAACTCAAGAGTGGGTATTATGTGTCAGCAGCCTTCCTAGCTTCACTTCCTCACAAACTCCTACCACCCACTTCCGTAGTCAGCTAGGCTGCAACAGCTTCTAGCTGAATTCCTCAGTGCCACACCATTATAGGCCAGAAGGGTGTTGGCAGACAAGAAACTGTTCAGGAAAGGTGAGACTGGTTTTGTGCTTGGCTTCCAGCTTCTTTACTGACCTTGAGTGCATGTTTAGGTGACCTGCATAGCCTTCATTCTTCAATTTTATTGCAAGCAGCAGCTGTGGCAGCAATTCAGAGGCTGCATGGGGCAGAAGTAGAGTACTCTGAGTCAGCATTCAACTGTGTGATATTCAATCATGTGATATTCCTCTCTCCCTCCAGGGTACAAATTCCTTAGGAGTAATAAGGAAATTCTCATTAGATCCTTATTACTGATATTCCAGTGAAGAAGAGAATTTGCCTTTTGTTGCATTAAATGCAACCCCAATAATGTTCTACCTCACTAGCAAAAAGAGAAATAAGTTGCTATTAAATGAATTACTTTTAACTCTTTGTTTCTAAGCTCTGCTTATGAATAACATGATTATGAATTAAATATTTTTAAGGACTGCAATTTCAGAGAAAATTTACACAATATCCCAACAGTAGTCATTTATTATCTTTTTCAAAAAAGTAATTAAGAGGCAATTTTTAGTATAATGTGTGAAGAATATTGATATAATGAACAAGAATCAATCCTGACCCTTCTTTCCTCCCTTGTAGAAATCAATGGCATGCTGGCAAACTCTTTGTCTCTCTAGTTTAAGCTTCCAACTGATTGTGTGGTTCTCCCTCAAGTGAATAAATGACTAATTACTAGATCATTTGAAGCACACATATTTGAGACAAACAATTCCTGCAATTTTACATGAAGATCAGTAAAGAAAAGCATAGGGCTTCACTATGGGAAATGCCACTCTAGTTCAAATCACAATGTCTGAAGATATTTTCCATAATTAGAAAACCTTATTTGTATCTTTCCTCATTAATTCTGGAAAGACCATGTGTTTTGCAGCACTTAAAATAACAGCAGTTCATAAACAAATTCACATAATTAACCAAGCACATAGCAAGGTTATTTATTTATTTATTTATTTATTTATTTTATATCCTGCCTATCTGGTCGGTTAAGACCACTCTGGCTTCAAATGTATAGGAATATTATGCTTCCAAATGAACTGCAGCAGAATCCCCTTACAATTCTCAAAGCCCCCTCCCCCATTTGCTTTCATCACGTACCTGTGATATATTCTGTGCTGCCTAAATGTCAAAGTTGTTCCCATTCTTTATCATTTTCTCAGTATGATTCATCTCCCTTTCTATGTGATTGGCTGTGCTTCAGTCAGAGAAACTTCGCTTCAAAAACAGAAAAGATTTTAGAATTTGAAGTGCATTACTTTTCAGGTGTGGTTTAAAATTGGTTGCCTTAACTTTATTCTCTCTGAATGTTCTCCTATATGCACGGCAGGCAGCAAATTAGCAGGCCAGAGAGAAGGTTCAAAGCACAATGGCAGGGCTGCTTTCTCCTCTGTGATCTGGATTGTGAGGGACAGCTCTCCATTGGATTTCTATCAAGAAATAATGAAGGAGTGCTTGCCTGCTGCTTTTTCTTTCTCTGATGGTATACAGGGGGATAAAAAGAGCAGTTTGGAGATAAAACTTATATATTCCTTTCTATGTGTTGAGTTCCAGTCACAAAGAGAGAGGTTACTTACCTGTAACTTTGGTTCTTCAAGTGGTCCTCTGTGAATTCACACTAATGGGTTTAGTCTGCACATG